GCAGGACCATTCGAAATGATTTAAGTCCTTGAATTTATTTTTTCCACCATGACATAGCAAAGCTACCCAGGCCGGCTATGTATCATCCTTTATATATTCACGGTCCTTATCTACGCTCATCTTTATTATATGTGAAGGTGCTTGGGTATGCTTTCAGTCAGCCCTATATTATTGTTTTTGGCTCTTAATTACTCTTAGTAGCCTTGAGAAATAAATTTCGCCTTTGTTGAAAAAAAAATTAAACTGTAGGTTTAAAAAAAAACGATCCTAGATTTTATTTTTACTTGTATTTTTCTGTAAGATTTATATGAAATATTGCACTGTTGATATCGTTGTTTTCTAGTATGGCTATTAATTTCACATTATTTGTTTTGTTGTCATGAAAATCAGAAGTTGTTATTTTGGTACATTGATTGTTTGCCTTTGTATAGCTAAATTCTTCATATTAATGTTTGTTTACGATACATCCATGTTCATCAATTATATATCTAATAATTTTCAATCTAAAACCTCTTAAAAGGAGTTAAATACCCCTATAAGTTAGGATTAAGTGAACACTTTATTTTCTGAAATGCAAATTTAGGAAAATTTATCCTATGGATTACTCGGTACCAAGACCAGTCAATGAATGTTCTGAAAGGGTTCTATACCCCCATATACATAAGAAATGGCGGGACACAATTTTTAACTTTGAGACAGGTGTGTCCAGAAGGGATTTTGTATTTGGGTTTCGGGTTTTTGAATTTTTGAGGGTAGCGAATCCCGACGGGGCTATGAGCAACAAGCAGAAAAACATGGAACATACCACAGCAAGCGTAATTGTATATGATCTACGATTTTTTAAATTCTGCCTTAGCTTACTCTGTTTTTAAGAAAGGGTGAGCAATTAATTATCTTGGGAGGGTGGGGGAAAGGTAGATTCTTGCGCCATAGTCCTTGAGGGAAGGATGGGCACCCCGTCTTTGGGACATTGTTTGGACTAGTAAGGAGGTAAACATACTAACACTCATAGGTCCCCACTCATAGGTAGTGAGCTAGGTGGGCGGGGTGGCCGAATGGGCTAACGCGTTGTGCACTGCACCACCGTTGTCCGGCAACCTGATATATGACAAATGCGTTATAAAAATAGTCACGAGTTTGCGTCTTGGCGCCAAGGCGTCTTTTAAATCCCCGCCCACATCCCCTGGCACGTGAAAACCCCGTATAGCCTTGCCTAGGTCACTTTTTCCGGGTTTTCGCTTATACCATCAAAACGATCTGTAGCTTCACCAAGGACGTTCTTTACAAATTAAAGCTAATTAAATTTTTAATATGTTTAATTTTTTCGCTACATTGCTTAGTTCCTATTATATCCGTCCTCAATTCATAACAATCCTAAAAAATAACTTTTTCCCTTCAAATTCTAGAATTGGAAAATGTATAGTTGAACTAACTTTTCAACCGTTGGATATTTATCAGTAAAATAATGTATATATTATTTTAGAAAATTTAATTATTAAAAAATTTCTTCTTCATAACTTAATTATTGAAAGAAGCAATCAAGAGCTGGTCAAATACAGTAAAACAATGAGGGACATTTTTTTTCCGAATTAGCGATAGTTGAGGACGGATATCTGGAAAATTAAGCGAGGTAGCGAAAAAAGATTTTTGTATAGTTTTAATTTTGTATAGAACATCACTATCGATGCGACGGTTAGTTTTCCTGATATGAACGAAAACCCGAAAATGTGACCTTCTCCGCTATGTCGGGCTCATCACTCAGGGGTGGGGACTTTGTTATGCTTACCTCCTTACAAGCCCAAACAATGTCCCAAAGTCAAAATTTATATTCCCACTATTTCCTTCTTTAATCATTAATTGATTGGGCGTATCATCATCGATACCGTATTGTATGATGAAACCGTTCATAGTTATTCAATCAAATAAAAAATTATGGTAAAAACAATGGGTAATAATATTGAGGTATTTAGTAAAATTGACTGCATGGATATTTAAACTTGGTGTAGTAGTTGAGATCCTTTTACTTCCTGAACGAATCTCAAGACTTATTCGGATGTTGGCATGCACCGATAAATAGGATGAAACTTATTTGCCAGGAGTAATTTGTAATTTAATGCTATTGTGTTGAGATTTTTATTTCGTTTTATAAACACATTGTTTTATTGATCAATATTACATTTAGATAGTGACATTAATAATTGTGATAGAGTAGCTCATTCTCATTAAATGTATAATAAATAAAAATAAATTAAACAATAATAATACTAAAAGTTAAATATATATATATATATATTTCCATCCTTCGTTCAATTTCCATCCTGAAACTCTTCCATCGTTTCCGCCATCTCCTACCCATATCCACACGTAGACTCCTAGTATCCGCCTCATCTTCCCCCACATTGACTACGGCTGTGTAGTGTACGGTGGCTCTCATCGGAACTTGGAGTCAGACTGAAAAGAAATGAATGGCTTAGTACGATTTGTCAATGGGACCCCAGACGTTCTCATGTTTCCCACTACTACCGCCGAGTCAGGGTGGCTCTTCCCCTCCTTCAGAGACAGTACTTCCTAGGTACATTCCTTTACCAAATAATCTATAATCATCGTCCGTCCTACGCATTCAATCTCCTTCAATTCAAGTCATCTATCCACTCCCTCTCCACAAGATCTCGTCCTTCCGACCTTTATACCCCTTTCCACAAATCGGCCTCATTTCAACACTCCTTTATTGTCCGATCCACACATTTTGGAATTCCATCCCACTTAAAATCCGCCATGCACCATCCTTATCCACATTTAAAACCCTCCTTTTCCAATTCCTCCTTACAATTCAATCAGACGCTGGTAGCCTATATTGTATTATTATACTATTGTTGCATTGTATGTATATATGTGTATGTATGTATAACATGTATATATTATATATATATAATATATGTATATTGTATATACTATTGTACTATTATTGTATTCTCACTATTTTTGTATTATTGTATATATTATGTATGTACGATTACACTATTGTATTTCGATTATACTATTATGTTCTACGAACATACTACTATACTATAACACTTTATTATTATTTGTCGCTCATTTATAATTTCATAGCGTATTGTGTATAGCAACTATATTTGCAGTATTAGGACATTATTTCTCATATATGGCTTCCGAATCTGTACAGTTATGTAAACACTTCTTTTATCCCTTATTTTTTAGTTGTTTTTTTTGTGTTTTTTTGTTTTGTTTATTGTAATATACATTTTGGCCAGATGTAATGTTTAATTTTTGTACAATATTGTTATTCTCAAGGGACGTAGTCCCAGAATAAAGTTGATTCTTCTATCTATCTTCTATATATATATTTTTTTTTTTTTTTCGGTTGACACTACAGACCAAGAAGATCTTTGGCAGCGAGATGTGGTCTCCTTACAGACATGTGATACTTGCGGGCGCTAAGATAGCCTGGAGGGGGTTACCCAACTTCACGTTGCTGCGGACCATGGTTTCCATGGTGCAGCGGCAGGCCACCCGTACCTCCATAGACGATCTGGAGGGGCCCCCCTTTGGGGCCAATCTGGCAATGTCCTTCCCACCGACTTTCTCGGATTCAAGGACAGTGACAAATCGGTCTAGATCCATGGATTATGGCTGCTCGGAGTCAGCAGGGGCACGAGGACCTATATTTCTTTCCCCGAAACAGACCGTCCATGGGCCGAACCTCAGGGGGGCTATTAACATCCTGGTAAACCACATCCCGATTCCCGATTTAAGTACACGGAGTAGGATCATCAGTCCTACACCTGGTCGGTGTGAGTTGCCTCCAGTAGACTGACGGGCCTCACATGCCCGGGGGGAGAGAGATTCAGGCAGCATGGCTTTCCCTGATAGACGGTCACGCATCCAAGTACTAACCACGCTCGACGTTGCTTAACTTTGATTACCTATTGCAAGCGCCTTAGCCCGTACGGCTACCCCAGTCCTACATATATAAAAGAAATTAAGCTAATCTAAATAACAACGTAATATATATATATATTATCCAAAATTCATTAACTCGGAGAATTCCGAACAAAACCCTTCCTCACACTCGTGGAAGGAAAGGCAGAACTGTAGGAGATCCCAGCGCATCTCGCTCTGCCGCATAATGGTATTAAGGACCAGCAGAAGCAGATCAGAGATATTATTTTAAGTTTAAATATTCATAAACGTAAATCTCAGTAAAAATCTGAACCTTAGGTTGGATTATTTCCATAATGTTTTATTTTAACTGTTTCATTTTTTAAAATTAATATTCATGACATATTGTTAAAATCTTATTACTAATAATAATAGTATTATTATGATACAAAACTAACGAAAAATGAGAATATTGTGAATATGTTAAAATATATTTTTATGGCAAATTGTTTAAAAACACACACGGGACATCAGTCAACAATTTGACCCATCAAAAGTAAAAATGGTCCTGTAGTTCCCTCAAAACAATTTTACATGCAAGCGGCCAAAATAAACAAATATACACTCTTTGTATCGGTTTGGTAAAAATTATAACTAATTCTGTCTTCTTATTTAAAATAAGTTTAAAATCTGGTAAAAAAAAAAAGTAACACAACCGGTTTATTTGAACTCACTGTCGTTTTTTCTACAACGACTCTGACTATATTAAATGTATATAACATGTGGACAAAAATAAAGGAAAAAGTGTTTTATACAAATTCGTATTTGATTTATATTTATGTTAATTTCCTGATACGCCCACGAAGTAATCATAGGATGAATTGTGATATTTCTATGATATGAAAATGTATTTCAATACAAACCATTTAGTTCCATTCATTTATTTTAGTTCGACTTACGTACTTTGAAAATAAGAAATTTTAATTTTGTTGAATTTTATTTCATATTATCTAGTTTTATAATCTTCTTTATCACGAAGATGTGGGTATGATTTATTATTTTGCCTAAGATATTTGAAAGATTATCTTGGACTAAACCTGATGAGGAAAGTAGGTATCATCCTCATTTTTAATTTAAGCTTCCTGGACCTTGTGTTCCAACTCCGAAGGTATCCACCTGTTGGGGACGCTCTTATTTTTTTTTGTTTTTGTCCTTTCGATGTCGTTTAATAGGTCGGCAAGGTGATCAGCATTTTAGCGATGTATATAAGCTGACGATTCGGGAGTTGAGGTATAGAACATCCAAGTCTGTCGATACAACAGCAATGGCTTCCATCAAGACTCTCGTAAGTAAAACAATGATATTGAATTCTAATGATATTATTATAATAATAGAATAAGAAAATTGCGAAAATGAACTGTTGCTTATGTTTAGCTGGTCCTCTGCATCGCCGTCTTCGCTGTGGCTCTGGCCGTCGAAGAAGGTCGTGACAAGAGGGGCCTCTTTGGAGGATACGGTTCCTTCGGTGGATACCCAGCCTTTGGCTACTCCGGCTACAGAGGATTTGGAGGATACAAAAGTTATGGATACGGCCGTAGCTTTGGCTATGGTGGATATGGAGGATATGGTGGATATGGTGGATTTGGACCAGGCTACGGATTCTTCGGCTGAACTAATAATGTTATGGTTTAATTGTTATCTGTCAAAAACTCAACTTTTGTTTTTATTCTTTTGAATACAGAATTATTTATTTCCAATAGTCAATAAACTTGGTTTTCTCCATCATATGCTTTTATTTAGATTAATTTCTTAATCCAGTATTCCGCTTAGGTATTGATATGATCTTTTGTTAAAAGGAACGATAAATTATAAATAAACTCTGCAATAGTTTTTCTTTTATTTACTAATTTATATCAATTTTTTTTTCTTTGCCACAATCTTGCTTTTAAGATTTAAAAAGGCACTTGTTATCACGTTAATAATAGAATTTTTATTTTTATTTGTATTTATCGAGGTTGAATTATATTTAGTCAGACTCATCCAGTACTCACCAATACGTATTATATGTTCAAAAGATAGACAATACAAACGTATAAAAAGAAATGAAGATTTTATAAAAACATGGTTTATTTATATTTGACCTTAAGGAAAGGTTGTGGAGAAGAAATAACCAATATTGAAGAAATTTCAAGAATATGAACTAATAAATGTTGTGTATTTTTTTTATTTTGATTTCAACATGGGCATCTTATGAATTTTTTTAATGCGTGGAATTCCTTATATTTTTTTATTTTGAATGTTAACAGTTATTTTATATTTTATGTTGGTTAAAAAAGTTATAATTTTTTTTAAAATTCATTAATGTTTGTGCTCCCCTGCCCCACAAAAAAGAATTCAGTTTTTAAAATAAAGTACGATTTCGAAATAAAAACCATGACAATCTTGTTTGATAAAAAGGTAGTATGTAATGTTTTTACTGCAAAAGGTTCATTAAATTAATAAAAAAAAAATTAAAAATTAAACTAGGCTCATATAATGGACCACTTAAGGAAGTAAGGCGTACTACTCACTGGTTCGTCCTCTATTAAATATGTGTTTTTACATCAATGATATTTTTTTCAATATTTATTCATTTATTAATAATACAACCTGCTACAGCCAAGAGAAATAAGTCAACTAGAACCTTTTTTTTTTTTTTTTTTTTTTTTTTTTTTTTTTTTTTTTTTTTTTTTTTTTTTTTTTTTTTTTTTTTTTATTTCAATGGAATTTACAACTGTATTACATAGAGAATACAATAAGTAAATGAGAAATTTGTAACATGGCATGTACAACATGAAGAGAAACTACCCATTGGTAGAACTCAAATTAAAGTTCTATATTAGAAGATCCCGAGGCCATCTTCTTTTCAGACGCCTCGGAGGGTTATCAGGGATCGAGGAGGAAGCAAGGTTTGAAACGAGAGGATTCGGATGATTCTGCAGTTTGTTATGGAAGGAAAGATATCTGGATTGGGCCAGATCGGAAACATATGGAACATTAAGGTCTTTATGGATGATTTTATTTGTGACAAAGTAAGGAGCGTTGAGGATTTTACGAAGGATTTTGGATTGTTAATAATTTAAAATAAAAATATTGTTGGTGAAACTAAATTATTTACTTATGTTTTCAAGATTAAAAAAATATTTTAAATCCACATTCAGACGATACGTTTGCCTACCTGCATTTATTTAAACTACTCTAGTATTGATGATCGAATCATTATAACATATGTGCAAACTGAGGGTTGAAAAATAAAGTACTAACAGAAATATGGAACAATGTTTCCATAGTACACACTACGCCACCACAAATTCATTTATTTGCAATTTTTTTTCTCTTTCCATTTCTAAGGATTCTCGATGAGATATTAAAAAGAAATAATAATAAAATTAAAATAAATAGTTGGCTTAGGATTGTTTTCTATCCCCATGTTTAAGATTTTTATTAATTTTTTATGTTTATTGTTATTTCATTCATCGAATTGTCATGTAAATATGGCGAAAATGTACTTTCTTGTCTCTGCCACCATTGTTCATTATCAATGCAGCATTTTATATGGCTTAGTAAAAATAATTTCATCTTTAAAAAGGAAAGAAATTTCTAGGAAGATCCAAGAGATCACTACTTATGTGTAGTTTTTCCACAATACCATGATTAATTATCTATCTAGTTACATCCATTATTTTAGTTCGAAAGGTTGTGAAAGAAAACTAGTGATGATAGTTTCATATTAGTTAATTAATCAATGATTAATTAGCTGCTCAGTTACCAATAATTAATTTAGTTCGAAAGATTATTAAATAAATATATGGATTATAAGAAATGTTATTTGATTTGCATACTTAATGTGTACGTTAAACATAAACACGGAACCTATTAAACCTTGCAGTATTCCTCCTAGTATTAAAAGATAAAATCACAGAGTAAAACAATAAATAAACAGATTAGATGGGGAGATAGATCTGACATTAAGTAGTATTAGCATTTACTTTAAAAGACCATGAAGTCAAACCCTATTTACTTCTATTATTAAGTCGATTACTATGCTTCAGTAAGTCAATCTTGTTTATTGTTATCAATAGTTTGCTACAGATAGCATATTTATCGTAAAATATTACTTCATTTTAATTAGGGTTTGATGATACCATATACGTTTGATCATCTAAGAAATGTATTTTTAATAAAATTCGATCCCTAATGACCTCTCCTTACTGTCAAGTATACGCGAAGAGTCAAACTCGAAAAATTAAAGTTGCTCCTGATGGATTAGAACGAAAATTGACTGTATTGGGCTGTCTTCATTTTCACGAAAATACTGAGCGGAGATGAAGTCAGTATTGAAATAAAAATCATGTTCAATTTTCTAAATTGGTGGAAAAGATTATTTATTATATCAGTCGATTAATATTGCTTTGGAAACTAATAATAAAAAAAATAAAAATATGTGCTTATATATATAAGCACATATTTTTTAATTTTCTATTTTATGACTGAAGAATATTAATACATGGGCTTTACTTAATTTCTTCGAAAAACATTGGTACTATAATCAGTCTTAGAAAATATCGGGATAGACAAAAATATAATTAGTTCACGCGTTTTTTGTTTTGTTTTCAATGTAAGGTGAGCTTTCATGGCATTAATCATATATATATTTTAACTTGTTTATTGAAAAATATTGCAATTTGTCTCAAAGGACATTTATAATAGTGTTCAGAGATCACATCCCCACTCTACGTACAATAAATAAAAATTAAATTATACAGAAAAATAATATAATATATATATATATAATATAATATATATATAATATATATATAAATATATATATTAAATATATATATCTATATATATATCTATTTGATTCTGCCTCTGTTTTAGAGTATTTTGTCTTAGTATATTCTGGTACTGTTCATTCATCTGATACTGTTATTTACTTTATTTAATCGTTTATTGTTATTTATTTTATTTAAACATCTATAAATATTCTCCTTGTAATACAAATTAAGTACCATTCTTTTTAAATATCTTTAGCCAACATATTGTAATTATATTTATAGTTATATACTAAATAACACTGTAATGCATATAATATGCTTTTGCATGGTGTATGCACACTTCTAAAAAATATACGCCTCTTCTGTAGGGTTACTACAGCAGAGAAAAAAAAAAAAAAAAAAAAAAATAAATATATATATATATATATATTACCTACCATTGTTCGTCCAATTATTATATATCTGCATAAATTTTAATATAGTTTAAATCTTCTGCTCTGAGGTGTTAAATATATTAATTCCTTATTCAATCTCACCTTACTTAGTAACTGGCATCCGTTATTGTTCTCCAAACTATTTGTTAATTTCCCTCAATGTTTTACCCGGAAACTTAAAACGAAGTTTAACCAACATATGTGAAAAGAAAAGAAAATAATTATATGATAAAAACAACGGACTGTATAATATTGAACAAAACAAAAGGTGGACTAATCAATTACCGAAGATAGTGTCAATGAAGTCAAATGCGAATTTAACCATATTATACTACCGCGAAACTCCATGAAGATAATTGTAGGTGACACAAACCCAAAGGTGGGATGGAATACATTTATATTCCGACGATTGGTAAAGAAAGTTTACACGAATATAGTAATGATAGTGGGGTCCGTCTGATATTTTGGCACCTAGAAAAACCTGATGATAGTTAAAAACGTTTAAACTTAAGTATATTCATAAATATATCTGGATGCGCAAACACGAAATCAAATTGATCCATGTATTAATATATCTATCTGGCAAAAGAGTATAATTAATGTACGGTCTTATCGCGGAGCAGAATGTGGGTTAGATCATGGATTAGTAATCGCCAAACTCCGACAGATACTTAATATAAAAAAGAGAAAAGAGAACTGCTTCGATATCGAGAATCGTAAGTTAGAAAAATTAAAAAATCCACCAATTAGAAATCAATTCGAGCTAGATGTTAAGAATAGGTTTGAATCTTTAGAACATTCTGACCAGGTCCGCGATGATATTGAAGTTATGGATGGGGATTAGGGATAATATTAAAGCGACCGGTAACTCGGTTCTTGGGAAAAAGGAAAATAAAAAGAACAAACCGTGATTCCATGAAGATTGTTTAAAGATGTGTGATAAAAGAAAAGCTGCTAAATTGAAAGCTCTAAATAATCCTAGTAAAGATAATTTCGAATACTTCCGAGCCCCTAAGAATGAAACGAATAAATAGCTCAAAGATAAATAAAAGGAGTATCTTAAAAATAAAATAATATACATAGAAATTAATAGAAATGAAAATAACGTAATAGACATGTACAAAGGTACAAACAGATCACGTAAATGTTTAGGGCCCATAACGTCTGGAATTAGGGATGAAAATAACATTATTCTGACCAATTCGGTAGACTTATCATATAAATTTAAGAACCACTTTGACAATATTTCAAATACGGGAAATTATGATCGTTCTCCTGCTTTTGAGCACTAGAGTGCTGAACCGATAATAGAAAAATCCAGTAAATAGGAAGTTGAAGTAGTATAACCGATAATATTCCTAACGAATTAATTAAGGCATGTGTTGAAGCTAGAGTTTCTAAAATACATTTGTTGATTAAAAAGATCTGGGGGAATGAGAAATTATCTGAAGAATGGAGAGAATATATTCTTATCCCGATTCGCAAAAAGGGTCCGAGGATGGATTGTAATAACTATCGAGGAATTTCACTTCTTTCAGTATGTTATGGAATATTCACTTTGATCTTAACTAGTAGAATCACGGAATACGCCGAGGTAATTATCGGAGATTACCAATGCGGATTTAGACTCAACCGTTCGATGATCAAATAATTTCTTTACAGCAAATATTGGAGAAAACATTAGAGTACAACGGCGTTGTTTATCAGTTCTATGTTGATTTCACAAAGGCTTGCCAATCTATTGACCACCTGTAGCTGTATAATATTTAAATCGTGCAGGGGATTCCAAGAAAAATAATTAATCTAGTTAGGATGTGCTTGACGGAAACGCTCAATAAAGTTAGAATCGGTAATAATTTGTCCGAAGAGGTTCGTTCAGGTTTAAAACAAGGTGATTCCTTTGCACCTGTTC